GGAACTCTGCAGATGGTCCTGTGAACTTTCCTGCTAGCAGGGGTACAGCTAGCAGCATGGCCTAGGTCCCTGCATATAGAAATACAGCATGAGTCTGTCTAGCTTATTTAAAGTGATATATTGCCAAGTTCTGATCCTGTTTTTCAAGCTGACTAATACCCCAGGTCATTACATTAATTTCAGTATGGCTACCCAGACAGTGCAATGATACCTAGGAAATGAGAACACAATCTGGCCAGTTATGGTTATGTGATTGAGTTTTTACTGCTAAGCACAATGTGCCCTACCCAACTTATTTGATTTAGCAGGTGCCTTGCTGGCATTTAAAATATTTTGCATATGATTATAATGCATCCTGAGGGGAAAAAAAGCCAACCTTAACATTTTATTAGTGAGACTTCTTGCTATTCCCCTAAAATAAGGCAATCAAACAGACAATTTATATTGCAGAGCCTTGACCTTTACTTTCCAGGACTGTAAAACAAAACCCCAGACCCCGCACTTTCTGCATCTGGTTGACATTTGAATAAAACTGCCAGAGTGCAAACAAGATTTAGACAACATCTCCAGCAAGCTCTGCTGTGAGTCTAAAAATATTCTTGGCTAACTTGCTTTTTAAGGCCATATGTTGAAAAAAAACCCAACAACCCAAAACTTCAGTAGAATTTATTGCAATAAGGGATTTGCCAAACTACTTAAGACATTTGGGAAGATTATAGTGAAGTGCATTAGTTGCTGACTTGACAATTTGCTATGCTCACTGCTTGTATATTGGATTCTTGATATTCACGCTGAGAGTTGATCCGACTTTCTAGTACATTTTAGCAAGAAACCTGCCAAGTGTCTACTGGCTTATTAAATGCTGGGAAACCAAAGGTCAGCTGTGTTTATAAGCCACAGCAAAGCCACTGCGGATGGTACACAAGATTTTCTCATGGCGTTTTTCTTGTTCAGAATTTCAGAGAAGGACTGGGTGAGGGCTGGTTTCACTGGTTTTGCCTCAAAGTCCCTCCTGGTTTGCCCCAAAGTCCCCAGGCCATGTGCTTGGAAGCTGCAGAGAAGCAGTTCTATTTCCACTGAGCTATCTATTTCCTACTTTGCTGCATCTAATGATTACTATGCCTGTGAATCTTGTTCATAGAGACACAGCCAGAGCATGCTCCTGGTACAGTCCCGCTGCAGCAGGGCCCACCACAAAGGGCAAACCTGCCCTGCCTCCACAGCCCATCCCAGGAGCTGATTTCTCCAAGGCTGCTGCAGGGTGACAGGAGCTGTTGTTGGGAAGCTGCTGCGCTGTGCCTGACCCAAAACTGGCTGTGCCTGGGGGAGACCTCCTGCCTACTCCTCCAAAGTTCTGATTGGTGTTCTCTCACTTGCCCGCTGTGGCAATTCTGTTTTGCAAGCACTCCAGTCACCTTTACTGCTTCTGATTTCAATCCGGTTTTACACGGCTGGAGACTGTCCTAGTGTGATGCACAAGTTTCCCCATAAAGGCTAACCCTTGCCCTCCTTGCCAAAGCAAACATTCCTACAAAGGCAGTGGAATCACTCTCACAGTCAATAAAATTTTCTTCCATATCATGCTATACAGAACACATTGCTGTCGACATTTCTTACATCTTTATTATATGGTTTTATTACATTTACTTGTCTGACGTGCGAGGGTAACAGAAAATTCCTCCTCTTTCTATAAAGGTGCTTACCAATACATAAGTGGAGATGTGTAAAAAACAAACAAACAACAACAACAAAACAAATACAACCACAAAAACGTGCTTATTTAAAACACAAGAGGACAAAAAGTTGAAACTCGTTCATTTAAATCATTTTAACATGGAAATCATTCTGAAGGGTCTGTGCTGCAGACAACAATCTCACCGAGATTCACCTTGCTGGAAGCACCGCTTACAACAGACTGATGGAGAGTGACATGAGAAACAAACCCACGTTTTAATGGAAGATAGCTGCAAAACAAATCGCTTTTTACCGGTTGGAAAGAACTGGGGGGGCGGGGGAGGAAAGTGTTTTTCTTATTTTTCTTATTTATTTTTATTATTTAGTTTTATTATATCCCTGCCATTGTCACCATCCGGGATATTTGCGCTTTCTCCCAGCAGCGGGACTGGGTGGGGAGGGGGAAACCCGGCCATACCCGCGCAGTGCGGGCCCCCAGGAGAGCGGCAATTTGTTTCAGATTAACGGGTAGCATCTCTGACCAAACAAGCGGCGGGAGCTCCCGCGTTTGGCGATGTAATCCGCTCCCGACGGCTCGAAGAGAGGGCACGATCAAAGCATTCTTCCGGGGAATTCGCACCCGGGGCTGCCGTTTGGTTAACCGGCCCGAACCCTGCTAATAAATCCCCTGGGAGAAGGGGCGGGATAGGAGGACAGGGAGGGGGCCGCGGCTCCTGCACCTGCACGCCTGCCATCCCCATCCCTGCCACTCGAAGCGCGATGCGGAGCCGGACCAGCGGCACCTTCCGAGGGGAGAGGTCCTGAAGGTCTCGCAAATGCCCCTGAGCTGCTTTTGCTCTGCCTACGCGGCGCGCACACGCACCGGGATCGGGCAGAGTCCCTCGCAGTCACTCCCCGAACCCACCCCGGTCCCGGAGCTCAGCCACAGCCGCTGCAGCGCACTCTGCCCGCTGCCCGCCCCCCACCGGCACAAACGCTGCGCTCCCGTACATCGCGGCGGAGCCCGAGGACAGGGCGGGGAAACGCTTCCCCGAGGAAGCTCCAGAAAACTTCTGCGTAGCTCCCGGGGTGATGATAACGGTGAGGGGGGAGCACAGGTTTGAGGAGGAGAGCCCGTCACAGCGGGCAGAGGGATGCGCTGGCGCTGCGCTGCGCGTTTCCCAGCGTGGAACCCAATGCCCTCTCCATCCTGTTCCGTCTCTTCCCGTCCCGTCCCATCGCAGCTCGCAAGGGTCGCAGCTGGCACCGCGGGCCGAAGGGATACGGGAGCTGATGTGAGACCGCAGCAGCGCTCCCCACGGCTCTCCCGTCCCCTGGGGAAGAAGAAGTGGAGCGCCCTGCAGAACAGAGCTCAAACAGGAGGAGAAGGAGAATGTTACACAAACATGCTTTAAAATCATGGCTGGATTTCACAGTTCCCTGTGGATAAAGTAAACAGGAGGGGAACTGTTTTGTAATTTACGCCAGCGGCCCGCAGAAACCGTACTTTGTAATTTGGTGTCGGTTTACAAGCAAAGGGGACTTCTGTTTCCTAACCTAGCAGGTTCTTTGTCATGCCCGCGCCTTTTAAGAAAGACCCCAAGGGGGAAAGTGGAATTCCTTGGGCATTTGCCTTTTCGACATGCCTATAAGCAGCAGCGGGTGACTCTTTGGGGATGAATGCTACCTGCCGTCGAGGACTTGCTTTCCCGAAGCCAGCGCGGCGAGCTGCATTCCGAGTAGGCGAACGCTGCAGCGAGACGCGCGGTGTCCGCACACCTCGGCCGAGCAGCGAGGGCCCAATCCGGCAGCTGTCCTCGGCCCGCCCGCCGCAGATGCTGCAGCCCCCGGGGCGCTCGCCCGACAGGGAGGGGCTGAGGGCGGTGGCACGGCGCGTTCCCGTCCGTGCTGAGCCACGAGCGTGGGTTGTCTGCGCGTGCGGTACGCGCCGCTCACGGAAAGATGTTTGGTCTTCAGGAGAATGGTTTCGGCTTATGCTTTACATATCGTTAGTTTTCGATCAGCACACCGATGCTAAGGCGCCCTTTTTTCTCACTTTTTCTCTCTTTCCTCCTCCATTCATTCCCCTCCTTTCCTTCCTTTCTTTCCTTCTTTCCTTCTTTCTTTCCCAGGGCATTACCCCGCTTACTCTCTGACTCTCCTCCGCTCGGCAGGAGAGTGGGTCCAAGATGAGCGTCGCCCCCACTCGCCCCCTCCCGCTCCCGTTTGCGGCCGCGCTCGGCAGCCCCGACTTCGGGCGGCGATGTTGGTGCCCCCGGCCCTGGAGGCGTGGCAGCCGTCGGAGAACGGGAGGAGAGAAAGAGCTCTTCCGCAGCTCATTGCAAGTGCCACGGTGCGAACGTTACGGTGTTAACGAATACTTTGCCCCTCGGTGTTACAGGGAGTGCGGGAAAACCACAGGGATACCACTGTGTTTCCAGACTCGAAATAAAGTCATTTCCACGCATTTCCCTCCTCGCAGCGGGACAAAGAACGACGGCAAAAGAAAAGCTCCGTGAGCGTTCCACCTTTCCCCACCACGTTCCCCCGCCGCGCTCCCCGTGGGCTGGCGTGCGTCTGTCACCCCCACGCGCGTCACTCTTCTCTCTCCTTCTCTCCTCCTCCCGTTCTCCCCACGACTACGACCCGCACTCGCCGCCGCCACCGCCCTGCCCTCTCCGCGCCGCCCCCACGCGCGTCCCCGCTCCCCCCACGCCCGTCCGCACCCACGCGCGGCGGCTGGCGGGCGAGCGGCTGGGCGGGGCGGCGTCGGCGCGGGCCAATGAGGGCGGCGGCCGCGCGGAGCGGGCCCGATGGGCGGCGCGGGCGGCAGCGGACGGCGCTGATAACGCGGCGGGGCCGCAGCGGCGCGGCGCGGCGCGGCGGTCGCGGTCCCGGTCTCGGTCTCAGTCTCATTGACGGCGACAGCGCGCACTTTGCCCGCAGCCGCCAGAACCCACCGGTGTCACCGGACGGCGTGGCGCTCCGTGGGTCGCGGGAGCCCGGCGCTTAGCCTGCCGGCCTGGGGCACCGAACTCGGGTAAGAGCCTCGGCGGCGGTGAGGATGGGAGTTCGGAGCCATCGCTTCCCGGGTGCCATTAACCGGGCGCAAAGGCAGTGGAGCTCCAGCACCGCCGTGCGTGGGTGGCGGGAGCCGGCCGGGTGCTGTCATTCCACGGCCGCCCGGGGCTGTTCCTCCCGCTCTCTCCCCGCCCTTCTCCTCGCGGCAGACGCGCTCCGGCCGGCGCACAGTTCTCGGGGCAGCGGCCGTCGAGGCAGCTCAGGGGAGCCCCGCGGGTTCCGGGGCACGGGGCCGAGGGCCGCGGAGGGAGGCACCTGGCGGGTCGCGCCGTGCCCGTCCGAGCGCGGGCGGGCAGCCTGACCCTTCTCTTGCAGCTGCGGCGCGGAGCAGCCATGTCCGAAGGACGCGCCGCTGGCGAGTGGGAAATCGACGTGGAGAGCCTGGAGGGGGAGGCGACCGAGGGCCTCGGCGCGCCGAGGGAGGAAGAAGAGGAGGAAGGCGAAGAGACGGCGGCGGCCCCGCGGCGAGGCGGCGGCGGGGAGCCGCGGAAGCTGAGCCGCACGCCCAAGTGCGCCCGGTGCCGCAACCACGGCGTGGTGTCGTGCCTGAAGGGACACAAGCGGTTCTGCCGCTGGCGCGACTGCCAGTGCGCCAACTGCCTGCTGGTGGTGGAGCGGCAGCGGGTGATGGCCGCGCAGGTGGCACTGCGCCGGCAGCAGGCCACCGAGGTGAGGCGGAGCGGACGGGTCGGGCGGTCGGGTCGGGTCGGGACGGGACGGGGCGGTTGGCCTCGGCTGACGGCACCGCCCGCCCGCTCTCCTAGGACAAGAAGGGGCTGGCCGGGAAGCAAGCGAGCCTGGAGCGCAAAGCCGTCTACCAGAGGCACGTCCGGACGCCCAGCCTGCTGGCCAAGAGCATCTTGGAAGGTAGGTCCGAGCGCGGCTGAAGTCGGCGCGGCCGCCTCTCCCGAAGTAACGCGGAGCGGCTCCTGCGCTGCCCGGGCGCGGTGCCGTCGGACTCCTCCGCGGCTCCCGCGCTGCGTGGGTGGAATCGGCGCGGCAGAACCTCAGTTCCCCCCTCCAAATAATGCCTGAAATGTTAGCGGCGGTAATCTGAAATTTGAGAGTTAGTGTTACAAGCCGACATTCTTTTTACATGAGTACCCAGCAGTGTTGTGCGGTGCCGGGCGACTCATTTGCGGCCGTATCCATCGGCAAATGAGTAAAACAAACCGCTTTCTTTCTGAAGAGAAAGCTTAACACAGCAGCTCTGTTTATTGAGGTACCAATAGTGAGATAGGGATGGCAGGCTGCTCAGATTTTTGTCTGCTGAAAATGTCAGCCGCAGAAACAAGATGTTAGAAAGATCCATGTTTTAATGAACATATATATATATTGTCCTCTCTGTTTCTTCAGGTCCAAGACCCAATTTATTTCTGTGGCTGCTTTAATTACTTTCCAAATTGTAGCCTTGTAGCATTATGATCATTACAGTTCTTTTTACTGTTATTTTTTTGGATCAGAAAGCTCTTTTCTTTGCCTGTGTAAGTGTGGTTACAGTTCTGTCCTATTAAACCTCTCTGTAATTTTCTCCTACAATTCATTCTTTTAAAAAAATAAATCTTTTTTTCTGTATTTATCTTAACTTTCTTTTTCTTTTCTCCTAGTTCTTCTTGGAATTTTCTACCATCTGTAACAATATGATCATAGTGATTCATCTTTAGAGAATAGGAATGGCAGCAGCTATAGGTATAGATATCTTCCTTGGCAATGGGGAAACTGTGTGACAGGAGTGGGACTGAATACAGGCAAAATCCTCTCCTTACTCTTGTAATCAGTTCCATAATTCAATAGGATTACCTTGCTGGGTAGCAAACAGGATCGGACCCTGTCAGTTATGCTAAATTAATCCATTAGATGAACATACTGTTGTATTTTGTTTTATTAATGTAGTACTTTAGTTCTGAATAGGTGGAATATCTGAATACTTCCCATGTTTATTAAAACTACTGCATTATTAAGCTGTGTGGTTCAGTACTGATCATAATGCATGGCAGGGTATTGCCTTTTTTCAGTCTGCTGCTTTCGATGGCCACTGTAAATGGCTGCTCAGCTAGCTCTGGGGGAGACAATGCAGGGTAGAGCAGCAGGGGTGGCTTCTCTGCATGCAGGGAGTGGGGAAGGATGTGCCTGAGGGGGCAGGGAGCGCAGCTGAGGTGGCACGGTGATGAGGGTAGGAACTGCACAGGGTCTGCAGAACGTGCTCCGTGCCTGGTGGGCAGGCTCTGAAAGGAGCCCCTGGTGCAAACACAGCTGTCATATTTCTCCTGCGTGGTTCCATTCCTAATGCTGCTTCGTTGTTTTAGGTTACCGTCCTATTCCAGCAGACGCTTACCTGGGAGGAAACTCACCTTTGCCACCCCCTGTAAGTGACAGGATGAGAAAGAGACGGGCTTTTGCTGATAAAGAGTTGGAGAACATTATGCTAGAAAGAGAGTACAAAGAAAGAGAGATGATGGAAGCTACACAAGCAGCTGCCCTCTTCCTCCCGAACCGCATGGTGCACGGAGCTGAATACAATGCGTACAAAACTGCCTTCAGCCCTGCTCAGGTTGATGCTTCCGGCAAGGAGTTCTGCAATTTCTTACCAACGTGCCTTGATCTAACCATGCAGTACTCGGGATCTGGCAACATGGAACTTATTTCTTCCAATGTCAGTGTAGCTACTACCTACAGGCAGTATCCCCTGCCTTCCAGGTTCTTAGTGTGGCCGAAGTGTGGCCCCATTAGCGATGCTCTCCTCTACCAGCAGTGCCTGCTGAATGCTACCACCGTCCAAGCTCTCAAACCAGGGGCAGGCTGGAACGCCAAGGTGGCACAAAGCCCGGAGTGTCCGAACACTGAGCAGGACATCATGTCTCCGAAACTGGAGAATCCACTCCTCCTGACCCACACGCCTGACATCCAGCAGGCATGCAGCGAGGTGCCGTGCCTTCCCCAGGAGGCTCGGGAGAGGTCAGCCTTCTCTCCTCCAAAAAGGACTTTTTCTCAGATTTCCGATAAGGATTCTCTGGCTCCTCAAGAGCAGGCATTGAGCAAGGTCAGCAAAGACACGGCCAAGCCCGCTCCACCTATCAAATACAATCCATTTCAGTCACTGTTCCCGCAGACATTTCCAGACAAATCGGGAGCAGAGCTGAGAGCATCGTTTATGAAGGAGACTTTTGAAGAAGCATCTAAGAAATATAGGGAGTTCAGCATTAAAGAGAACCAGAAATACAAGTTTACTATAGATAAATGTACAAAAGACTTCTTTGGACCCAAACAGGCCACAACAAAACTGTCAGCAGCTGAGCCACTGTCATTTTCAGTTGAATCCATCCTCAAATGACCTTGTGCAGAGGCTCATATCTCCCAGTGAATGAACTGCAACATCACTGTAGAGAGCTTGTGTGCTTCGCCTTCTGCAGAATTACTACTGCCCACCTTTTCTCTTAAAAGATTTGTAAAGAGGAGTTTCTGCTGTAAATGGTAATTTTCTCTTTTTTCTCAAAATGACATACATAAATATGCATGTTTTCAGAAGAAAAGTGAATTTATATTTTATTTTTAAAATAAGAAATGGCACATACAGAAGACTGTAGTGTTCTTTTAAGCAGAACTTCAGACCACTCAATAAAACGAGTTTACCTGCAAAAACAGATCTTCTTTGCCCTGCCAGTAATATCCCCTGATCTTAGTTGTGTCTCTAGTCTCTTGCAGGCAAGTGTGCTCTGCTGTCAGAACACACCTATTCCTTTGTGGGCTGGTACGATGTACTGAGTTATCTTGGGTATGTGGTCACTCTGCTTTTAGCTTCCAGTACCTAAGGGAAGAGATGCATGTAGGCTAGTATGAATTGGAAGACTTCTGTTATTAAGTGAAATTTGCATCAGATTCCAAATGCTGTTCTTAATCTGAAGGTGAAGTGCTTGCTAGTATATAGACTGACTTAGCCCATACCTCTCTACAAAACCTTCTATTCCTAAAGCAAAGACTTAATGGGTAGACTGTGTTTGGGGATAATGAGCTTTTTGTTTTTTTTTTTTTTTTGAGTCTTTTGGGGATAATGAGTTTTTTGGGGTGAGTTTTCGAATAAAAAATCCACTTTTTAAAATTCAATTTTTGAATAAATGCTTTTATTTTGAATAGATGCTTTTGGCTGACTTTGCTGTTCCTCTAGGTTTCCACTCCTTAGAATATTTCCATCCTAAAAACATTCACCTCTGACCTGCAATAGTCTGAGAGTCTCGAGCTGTGGTAATTGGAATGACTGTAAGAACGGTGCACAGAATCCTTAAGAAGTGAGAAGTCGAGTCATGATCTCTCTGTTTTGTAATTCTGGGCCCTTTTGCAGTGTAATAGAAAGAAGGCAGTAGAATTTACCCCAGAAACTGAGGCGCCCTTCCTTGGTGCTGTGGTACAGCTCTCACTGTAACTGAGCTCAAAGGAAACTTTCTGAACTTGTGATATTTTGAGTTTTTCCCTGTATTTCACCGTTGGCATTTCCACTTACTGCTGGTACCTCAGTTAGTCCTGTTAACATTTCAACCCAGCAGAAGCTGCTCGGTCAGCTGAAGGGAGCTGTGGTTGTTTTTGATTTTTGTTATTTTCTAAGGACAAATTCTATTTGATGTTTCTAAACAAAATGTCTAGACTCACAGTGATTTGTGTTGGAAGGGAAATTTAAGATCACGTAGTTCCAACTCCCCTGCTATAGGCAGGGACATTTCCTTCTAGACCAGGTTGCTCAAAGTCCTATCCAGTCTGGCCCTAAGCACCTCCAGGGAGAGGGCACACTATTATTTTCTGGTCTTACAACACTCACCATACAGGTTGAATGATCATTTTGCCGTAAATAAATCTGAACACGAGCATTGCTCGCTCTGTATCTCTGACTATGTTTGGTGTTGGTGCTGAGTGGTGTCTGTGCATGGGGTGAATTGTCTGCCAGGGTGCTTTTCTGAGCCCCATGAGTGGCCTGATGCTATTGCCAATCACATTGTTCAAGCAGCGAGCTCTGCCTTTTGCTTGGAGAAAAAGCATTTTAACACTTTTTACATAACATGTAAATGTTGTATGACTTGTCCTCTAAAACACATAGAAAAGAAACATGTTGTTTCAGGCAATAATAATAATAAACGGTAACACAAATTACTTCGTTGTTACTTAACAGGATTTTGCACCAGCCAGAGTTTTACTTTACAGAATCATTCATACTGACCAGACACTGCCTGCCTGGAAACACATCTCCAATGCAGTGAAACGCTTTTTCACATTGCTCAGCTGCCATTAGAGGGAGATGTACCTTGCTTGGGAGCCAGGGCTTCTCACCAGTCAGTTCAACAGCCACACCAAGCTGGGCAGCTTTTTCACGGAGCAAAATGCTTCACGCTTAATATTAATTTGCTTTCACCACAGCTTTCCTTCTTTGGCCGAACTGGACATAACATACTAACAAGAACTTTTAATTTTATCAGAGTTCCTTTGTTATTACAAGTATGAATCATTTTGTTGTTCAAGCTGCCGGCATAAAGTAGGATGGCAGATGAAAGACAGTTCAGGAACACATAGTAAACCAATGATGGGTACTGTAATTAGTCCTCCATAAACACATTTTACTTTTTGCCTGACAATGAGCACATCTAACATCATTCAATTTTGCATCTGAAATATTTTTTCAGGAAGTCACTTGTCTTTATTTATCACTAGAAAAGAAACCAGAAAACCACAGCCCTCCAAAACATTTGCAATCTCTTGACCTTTTAAAGAGCCAGTTCAACTAAATGGATGAAAACCCTGAAGAAATACAAAGTACTAACCTTCCCTATCTACATCACACACACACATAGACGTGGTCAGAGACATATACACACATACACCTCATCTACATCGACATACACATACATGTATGCATACACATATGAATACACATACGCATACACATACATGTACGTGTACACAGACACATAAAGAGACCCACACAACCTATGTCTGTGTTACAGATGATTTTGCCTAAAGCCCAGCCATCAGAAGAGGAGTGACATTTCTATTATTACTTTAAAAAAGTGATCATTAAAATGAAACTGGAACAAATTCTGCCTGCTTCATTTAACAAATTAGTCTCACTGGAGTCATCATCTGGCCACACCATCCTGCTGTCACTTGCTCATTTCTTGCTTCATTAACCATTTACGCCTGTACTTTGTTTCCTTTCATAAAACCTGGGCCCTCCTTAAACTGTGGAAAGCATCTTATATGCCTTGAATGCATGTTGCTACTGAATCAGTTCTCCTTATGTTTGTTAAAAACATGTATAAAGATTGTTGGAAGTTTATTAGCTTGAACAGGATAGATCACAGGCAGACTACATGTGATTTTCCTCATGCATCTTCACAGTGGATGCATAGCTTTTCTCCATCAGTCTGCTGCATGTTTCCCTGGACCAGAAGCAGAGATTTGTCCATGTGTGCTGGTGGAGCTGTACAAACTCAGGAAGGGGAGGAGAAGTCATTGCTCTTTCTCTGTGGCCAAAAATGTGATGTGAGACCTGTATGCAAAATCACCCAGTGCTAGGCAATGAATTCCTTGCAGTATATAAGCTGTTAACATCCTGGGTTCCCTATTCCTTAAACACAGTGCTTGTGGCATTTGCTGTACATGTAGGTGCCTGTGCCTCCTGTTCAGAACCACTAGCTTTCTCTGGATAGAGTGTGCACATTTGTGCTGTGCTCCTGATGTCAGATTGCATTTCCCTTTGCATCCCCTCAACTGTTCTTACACGATGGTGGAACATGCTGGGAACTCAGCACTGGAAGTAAAAAGGAGTTGTGGGATGGAACACAAACAGCATTTACCCATTTGGTCTGCAAAATACTACACCTACGTGGTGCTGTTGTCAGAGACGACCAAGCTCGTGCTAGAAGTGCTTAGGTGTACTCAGAGAAAAAATGTTAGGAAGTGTACAGAACTAGAGGATAGAATTCCAAACGGTGCCTGGCTCACTGGCTGGTCGGGTGGCAAGGAGCAGGTGGAGAGGCTCACCTGGGGAGGAAGGGTTTACAGATGCTGCAGTGTCAGTGTTCTCCCTCAAGTGATGTGGGACCATTCAGGCAGGCACTGCATTTCCTCCCCTTGGGAAGAGAACCTGCACAGTAGGTGTGGGTTGTTGGCTTCCTGCTGAGGGCAAACTTTTCAGAGCTGAAGGCACCAGCACTGCTGGCTCACTGCAAAGCCTGTGTTAAAACTGGGCTTGAGCTCAAGACATGAGACAGTGGAACACCAGCCATCAGATGAGATCAGGACTGAAACATTTGTCTTGTTTCTGCTGATAAATTGAATCTTCCACACTAAGGAATGGAAAAGAGAGGAAAAATTCTTCATATTCAATAAAGTTATTAAGTTGGAAGAATAGGAATAATGAACAATTTTTGTTGGAAAGTGGTTGTGGCCTTCTTCCCAATTTTTGTAGAAACTAATTATAACTGAAATCCAGCCAGAGATAAGCAAAAGACTGCTTAGGCAAGCCTGTTGATATATTCACCAGCTGATTAAGTGGCACCAGAGCTTGTGAATGTGAATACTTACCTAAGCAATATGGAGCCTAGAAGTCACTTTGAGACATACAAGGATTTTGGGAATGCTGGACCTAATGTCATTGTCACGCTGACTAGCTGACATTGTGCATCTGTACCTCATTGTAGTCACTCAAATCTGTGCTTCAGACAGTGACTAGATTTTCTGTTCATTCCTTGTCAATACAGTTGGTCATGAATCAGGTACATCAAGCTGGTTCTATCTGTGGTACACCAGTCTGTCTTTGTGAAATAGTGGCATCCACTATACCCAGTCTGGTTTTCCCCCACTCATTTCATTTCTACATGAACAGTCCCACAAAAGAGCTGGCTGTGGCAAGATTCTGTTTTTCTAAGTCCAACAGAAAACATGGGTGAACAAACCACTCTCTGAGACGGCTTGCCTCTGGGTTATCAAAACCATACCAAATCTGGACCTCTGTGGAAAGATGCTTTAAGTAGTCACAGAATTGTCAAATCACAGATTTTAAAACAACAGAATTGTGTACACAGATAAAAAACCCAAAATCTTAGTGTAAAATATGTATAGATACAACCAACTTTTTTTAGGCAGTTGTAGACTTGCTAGAGAGCTGAAAAAAGCCATCTAGGGTCTTAGTAAGTAGCTTGGGAATGTCAGATAGACGGGAACCTTGCACTTCAACACTTTTGGAAGACCACATTTCATTTAATCTTTTATTTAATTTTGAAATTTAGTGACACTTATTCCCTTACTTAAGGAGCTGTCCTTAGCTTGAAGAAGCAGTACTACTTCTGTTATACCTTCAAACAAGTTTATTAATGGAATTTAGCAGTGTGTGATAGAACAGGGAGCAGAACTGTAGCAGCACCAAGGCTGGCTGGCACCTCTGGAAGGCACCCAGTCCCACTCCTGCCCAGAACAGCCCAACCACAGCAGTTTGTTCAATCTGTTCTTGGCTAGATTTGGAATCTCTAAGGATGGAGACTATGCATCTGCTCTGGGCAACCTGCTCCACCGGCTGTACCATGCTCACAGGAAACAGGAATATTTTCTTCTATCTAGATGCATTTTCCTGTATTCCAGAGTGCTCTCATTGACTCCGTCCCACCCTGACCACCTCTACAGCATATATTTGTGTTTCCTATATCAGGTATCAATATTTGATAAGATCTCCCCCGTGCCTTCTCTTCTCCAGGCTGGACAGCCCTGGATCTCTCAGAATTTCCTCATGCAAGAGATACTCCAGTTTCTTTTTCTTCATGTCTTTTGCTGAACTCATTCTGAGATGTACTAGGGAGCTCATCACTGGATATGTCTAACAGAGATGAAAGATTGCCACCCTCCACGTGTTGGCAACACTCTGCTAAAAGTAGACCAACATACTGTTGGATGTATATGCTGAGTGGAAAACTACAGCATTCTGTTCACCTTGGTGTCCAGTCTAACTCTGTTATTCTGACTCAGAACATTTTGTACAGGATTTGCATTTTGCAATATCA